CGAACAGCGTTCCCTCTCTGATTTATCGTCGAGCAATATCGGCTCGCGACAATTATGTATTTCGGCGACACCGGCGGCACGCGTAATAAACCGTCACTAAAATGGAATTGCGAGGCTGAAACGATAATCAAAGTATTTACACCGCGGATTTTCCATCGGTTTGCAAATCGTTTGTAAAATACGCGCGAACCTGGTACTTTCGTAAACAAAATTCGCCAGTCGATATCGAATTCCAATAAGGCGCATCCTTGTTGTTATAATTAATACACGGATCGAAATAACCCCACTCGAAGCTACAAAAGCGACGAAAAAACAAAGAAAACAGCTTGATCTAATCCTTCAATTAAGTCACTCGATCGCGATGAAAAAATTGTTAAAAACTGTTAGCCGAAGAGGGACTTTAAATATCGAACAATTGTTTCACGAAACAAATCTTCGTTTCTTCGAATCGGGGAGAGCGGGGTAATTCCGGCTACATAAGCAAGAAATGCTTGTGAGAAAATCCGTCCGGAAGACTTGAAGCCAGGCCCAGCGCGCTCGGTGGGGGTGACTCCGCCCCTTTGGGTCTTTCCCTGGGCCTGTTCGCGTAGGGATGGAGAGGGATCGGCAGGACGACGCGTCCTCACTCTTCACGAGACCCTCGAAGCATACTTTTGCGAACGACGCTCGGATTACGCGGGTATAGACTTTGAATAACATATACTATTGTAAAAACGTAGACACGTTCAATTAATTTCACGCCCAGCAGAGTACTTTCTGACACGCTATAAAATTCGAACAAGTTACATATTGTAGTATCGTAATTTTAAGCAAGCGTAGTTTTAAGAAAATGTGGCCAGCATAAGAGAGAAAGCGGGCGACGAGCGACGAGAAAACCCCCGGCGACGAGAGGCCCACGAAGGGCCTGGCTATAAAGTACGGCGTGCGAGGGATGGAAGGACAGTGTGTTTGAAAAAGTCGAGAGGCGTGAATAGACGAAGTGTGTGGCATAGTCAAATGTATTATAATTATTCGTATGTTTTGTTAATAAACATCTATCTATATTTCTAATTCCACAATATTTGTTAATTTGTTGATGTTAATTGATAGCTCGAAGTGTCTAGTTTGTATTAGTATGGCCCAGAAGGCATAAATTTACATTGTAATAAAATTGGAGAGATAGGAGAAGGAATGGAGAAAGTCGGTTGGAGTATTAAAACACGTTTATCCTAACAGAACTATGGAAAGTTTGTGAAATTACCACTTCCCTGGTATTAACCCCTGCCGTATGACAACTCGTCAGACTCGCGCCACAGATTTTGGTCAAGATCTGATAAAAACAGTTACGTCGATGAGAAAAATTCATTTTAATTCGAATTTTTGTATTAATTTACAAAACTGAAGATTGTCAAATTTAATTAATCCACGATACATTAGCTTCTCTTACTTAATATACTACTAAAACACTAAGTAACCGAGGCTTAGACGCGTAGTCATGAAAAGAAATCATACGTCAAGGGGTTAATTTAGGTGGAATCACCGGGAGAAGCAATTACTCGACACTCGTTAAAAGAATCCATCGTGGAGTAGATATTCTTTCCTCGGTATAATTTCGAGTTGGAAAATGAAGTTTAATTAAGAATCTCGCGTAGAAGCCGGTCGATCGAAGGAGCTGCAATTTCGAGCCGGTGCGAATTCACCGGTTGAATTGGCCACAGTTCCCGAGGCTGGTTAACGATTCGTCTGATGGGACAGAGAAGGAAAATCGTACGGAAACGAGAAAGAGTCACGGATCGCGAAGGCAGAAACGTAGTCGCGATTGGGTGCCGGTAATTCGACGTGGAACTTCCGAAACGATGCTCGTCTCTTCCAACGAAACGATATTACCCACCGTTTTTCCTTTCTTTGCTAGATTATCCTAATCGCGTGGCTCTAATTAAAATCAGAAAAAATTACTCGACCGCTTCCTTCAGACTGCGGAGTCTCCGCGATTTTTCCGCGAGAAATACGAGTATTTTCGTGAAAATCGATTTATCCGGTTAAATGGAAATGAAGGTACAAGAGTAAGTTAGAGAGTAAACGAAATTTTCATCGTTTCGAGAAGTTGGAACAATGTTCGGAACTTTTTCCAAATTATATAAACAGGCCAAGTTTCTAGGGCAAAGAGTGGAAAAAGTACGCGCGGATGTTGGTCGCCAAACGCGCCACGGATATCAGAAATTAGACGCCTCGGCTGAGAGTCGAATTTGCATAGGAAACTCGGCTACCGTGGAAAATTCAGAAAAAAGAAGGAAATTAGGTGTCCTTTAGTGTCGCGTCTCTAATGAGTTCGCGCGAAGGATTGGTGTAAGGCGAGTGCTAAATGAAAACGACCGATGTACCGTTCAAGCTAAAGTCGAGCTATTATGTTGTTCGAAAAATTCTGTAGGATTTCTGAGAGTTCGTCATCTTCGCGGCTCTGAGAAAAGAGTAGAAAAAAATTAAGCTCAGACCACGGTTTCCCGTGGTTAAATAAACACTCCTTGAAAATAGAAATTACACAATGGCTGACGAAAGAAAAAGTTAGGTTATGTTGGGTTATAATCCTTTTTTAAATTCATAAAGAAAAATTGAACGTAGAACACGGTTTTTCATAGTTCAATAAATAATCGTAGATAAAACACTTGGTCAAAATAGAAATTAAACAACAGCTGACGAAAAAAAAAAGTTAGGTTAGGTTCTTCGTACCTGAAGCGAAAATCCAACAGAACTGTCTGAACCTAACCTAATATTTTAACGACGACACTCTTAAAAGCAACAATGATCGCGATGCTGCTATAATCCCTTTGAATCCTTCGTTCCTTTAAGAACTCCAATCTGTTATTCCCCGTCTCCGCCGTTCCAGAAGCACAAAGAATGGTCACTTTTCTATACGAGAAAGATCCTCACAGTCGAATAATAAAGGTACTCTCTCTCTCGAAAAAGTTTCAATCGAACTGGAAAATGTGAGCGAAAAATCTTTGACGAAGTTCGAATCCGTTGGTAAAAAGCAATCCTCCGTGAATACAATCGTCGCGAACGATTGAACCACATGGTACCACACACACGCGCGCACACGCTCGTGAGGACGCATTCTGAATGAGAGGCTTGAAATTCAAAGGACAAGTATTTATCAGAAAACAAGTGGGTCTCGCTGAGAAGGAGGAAAAGGGAATCTGAATGGACGAGGGAAAAGCATTGTCAATGGAGCGAAGGAGCGATGCCCGTGTTCCCCTCACGCCCACGTATCGCTTTGCTTCTTGTTTGTTCTGGGTAGCAAACATACACCCTTCGAGGACGCGGAGAAAAGCGTGGAAGAGGGGAGAGAACCGAGGGTTTTTAATCGCGGCAACATTTGCTCCGTCACGCGGTCTGCCTCGCTGCATTTGTATGCAGCAACGGAACAGCGGTAAAGGTGGTTGCAAATGAGAGAGAGAGAGAAATAGGTAGGACAGTAGCGAGGAGCATTGTTGGAACGGTGCCGTGAAAAACACACCGCTAACTCGTCGACGATCGCGCGCGCGGTACCGTTGAAAATGAGGCGAAAGGGGAAACAAAAGGGGCCGATGCTTGTGTGGAATTTTTCAGGATTCGACAATGTACACCTGTGTACCCAGATAAGAAGCTAAAGAAGAGAGAAAAAGGGAGGATTTGTGGCGGTGAGAGGTGGTAGCAGGATTCCATAGAGTTGGCGGAAAGCATCGAAAGATCCTGAAGGTGGTTTTTCACCCAGGGGGGGGAAATAAAGCGAGAGCCATTGTACACGGTTATCAGGTTGGTTCGAGAGATGCTTCCGATATCGAGGATGTCTTTCTGCCGCGGCGCGATTCACCTTTAATCCGTGGCCACTGTGAGGAAATATTTCCGTGCAATCGACGAGAGGCTACTTCCGATACGGTACATAGAACTCTCTTCGTCAACGCAAAAAACAATGCTTTCACCCTCGAGTGCTCTTTTTATGCGCTCGCTCGACGGTTTTATTACGTGACTGCTGGACCTCTTTGACCAGATTACGAGCAACCATCGACCAGACTAGCGATCGATATCGCCCGTACTGGTTAAAAGTGGAGTGAGATTTTTACCAGAGGTTGTCACCAGAGAGACAGATTTCCTGGCAAAGTGGAAACGTAAGATGTTCCTCCACGGTTTTCTATGCTTTTCTCGAAATAGAGCATTCCCCGCGATATAGCGTATCGACGAGACATTTCGTACATACGCGTATGTACGTTGTGTGTATATGTATGGTACATAAGCTGGTTGGAAAAGCCTGATCTCGTTGCGGATGCTGTAATTGCACTGTAATTTATCGCGTTACCGCGTCAGACTGCGGCTGTGCCACCGGGAAAGAAGAATGAAAAAGACCAGAGCCGGTAGAAAAATACGGGTTGAGTATAAAACGCCCGGCTAGGACAAAACGTATCCGCATTGTGATAAAGCTCGAAGCGGAATATCGCCGCGTTAATTCGTTGCTTCCCGTTTCACCCTCGATTAACCCCATCCCTTAACGGGTAAGACTAGGTCTTCATTGACGTATTCTCCTAACCGTGAAAGCTATCGCTGCCATTTTTCCACGTAACGCCGAATGCAAATTACCCTTAGCCGTAATTTAGCGGAACGTGTAATCGAGTCACGTAACAACCGTGTAACTTTCGCAAAAAAAAAAATAGGGGGAGGAAAGAACAGAAACCTGCAGAGTAGCTACGTCGATTAATCTCGAGTATAAATTATCCACGCTTCCGTTATAAATCATCAGCGCGTCTACTCGCGCTACTTTTTTCGCAAACCTAGAAAAAAACCACCTCGTATTCAGCGTGTTCGAGTGTGTAAACCACCTCGAGGCTCGAAAGCCCTCGATATTTAATTCGACTCCGCTATATATTTCAAAAACAGAACTTTCCTCTCTAGAAAGTTGTGTACGAAAGGAAAGTAAATAAAAAAATAGAAAGAAATCGGAGAGAAAGATAACTTAAAAAAGAAGCGATAAAGTAAGTAGTATGACTCACTGATTGAGCGTCCGGTCGTTGCTGCCAGTAGTCGCAGAGCCCTGAACACCAGAAGCGGCGGCAGCGGCAGAGCCTGAATCGTGATGCCTTCTCTCCTTGTGGACAATGCCCATTAATTTCATCCATGGATTGTTGGCCGCATGGGCGCCCATGCCGCCGCTTTGCCACATTGCGCTCGCCAGTCTCGCTCCTTGTTAAGGAGCCCTTCCTGGGCTCCGACAGATCTTCTATTCCCTTCGAAACCACTCCTCTATTCTGCGTCACCACTTTTTCCCTGCAGCACCACTGATCCTCCCCACTTCTCTCAATGACGCACCTCGAACCTAACCGATCCTCCTCCTCGCTGAAACCTGCTACTACTTCCTCTTCCTCCTCCTCGCACCTTCTTCCACCACTGGCAACAACCTCTTCAATGTCCGCGTGCTCCAAGCCGCCGACAATGTCCGTGTCGACGTGCTGGCCGTGTTTCTGTTCCGCGACCCTGATCCGCGGCCTCCTTGAATTAGAGCCAAATAGTACCGCCGCTGGTGTACCAATGTCCTCGACGTGAACGAGCTTGCGAGGAAGCCGAGCGACCGAGTATCGCGACGTGGTATAGTAATTTGTTAGAAGTGCTAGCAGCCTCGAGACTGAGAGATCATCGTCGAGAGGAACGCGAGAGAAACGCGGCCGCTGGCGCGGTTGCGAGTGCGGCCTGGTGAGGACACGATTCTCTAAGGCAGGGCTGCCTGGCCCTGGGTAGGTGCGAGGTGCCTTGATCGGCCCCGTAGGCTCCCTAGCCCGGTTCTCGAGCACCTCCACCATCTAAATCCTTAGTATCTCTTCACAAGGCTTTTTCGGCCCCGCAACACCACCCCCTTTTCTCTTTTCTTCTTTTTTTCTCTCACTTTCAACTTCCGATATCTTCTTTACTTCAGCTTGTTCTTCGAACCGTTGCTGCCTCTCTATTCGACACTTCTGCTCCTACTTTTGTCTTCTCGTTTCACCGAACACACTCGCGAATACGCTTTCAGCTACTTTTCTTCGTTTCTTCCACTTGCTACTACCTCTTAGCTTTACCTCGTCCCTCCCTCTTCCCTTGCTCCCCTCCTCCAGCGGTAATTCGACGGTTCCTCCTCGTGACTCCGTGTCGCCTCAGGTTCCTCTTCTCGTCCCCTTCGCGTGCTCTTTCCTACGAACATACAAAGGTACACGCTCGTTTCAGTCCCTTTCTTCCGTTTCTCTGTAGACAAACTGCCACGGGACGAGAACGGAGAGTTTCTCGAGTTCGACGTTTTAGGTTTGTTTTCAGTTCCAAACGAAACACACCGCTTTTGCAACTTCGTTTCGAACGTACCTCGACCGAACGCTTAGGTTCGCGATTAAATTGCAGCGTTTGGGTCGTTCGGGGGAGGATCGAACGTCGGGCAAATTGTTTTCGTTCAGAAAACTTAGAAACTGCGCGAAGGTGGAGATACGGAGCGAAATTGGTGTGACAACGTGTGCTTCGATAAAATGTTGATCAAGTGGGAGAGGATGCGGAGTGACGTTGATTCGATACGGAAGCAAGTGTAACGAGGCCTAGAACGATAGATGCACTCTGGAAGCTGGTGACAAGGGTGACTACGCTTATTTATGTAGGGCCGCTCGTTACGAAGCAGAGCACTCGAGGATACAAAGAAGCTATTGGCCTCTGCTAAACAGCGTTCTGGAAATTTTCTCGCCGAACGAGGACTCCCTTTGTGTTCGAGATCCTCTCGAAAAGCTACGAGTAGTGTAACCGACGCTAGCCACTTTCACGCGATGAAAATCGTAGATACAATGGAGATGTTCCAAACGAATCTTCCGGATGCTAATTAAATACAAACGTTTCTCGCGATGGTTCTTTGAAAATGACCATAATTGAAGGTTTTCGTGATTTCAAACATGTTTTTTGGCAAGTTAATTCTTTCGTAATCGGTACTTTTGACGCGAGGAACTTATTGTTAGCTGGATGCTGCACGCAATTTTTAAAAATGTAGCTGTTACTAAAATACGAGTGAAAGTAAAAAATATTGTATGCAACCACTTGTTTAAAAATGAAAAACCGATTTTGACGTTGCGAATGCAAATTGGAAAAGTGAAAATCTGTAAATCTGATAATATTAAAATTCAAAAAGCTTTTTATACTCGTTAAATGTATTTACTGTGAACAAAGAGACTGTTAAAAATACAAACGTGATTCTGTTTTTACTTCTTTCGAGAGATTTAAGGCTTCGCAGCTAATTTTTTTAGCGACACTAAACGCACAAGAGAGAATCTATTCTTAAATTTTCTTCACTATTGAGGATAGTAAAAGAAAGCTGGAAACACATGTAGGAAGAAGGTTTTGCAACGCGTGTGTTTCGAGGGATTCACAGATACCGCAAACAGCAGCTATTGATCCCCTTTAAAAATATCTGCAAATCCGTGAAATAATAGCTGAGGTTTCGTCTAAAGATAAGTGGAACTGTTCGGTTATTTCGTTCGTCCTTGTTATCCTAGCCGCGCCGGGACGCAAACATCACGCGACCGTGGCACAAATTACTCGAAACTTTCCCGGAAGAAGAAGAAGAAGAGTTTGCCTTCTCTATTCCCTCCGTGGAATTGCTCCATAATCCTAAACGGAAGAGCACCGTTAACGCGACTGTAACGTCGTCGTCGTCGTGCTTCCTGATATTTTATATCGACGCACGTTCAATGATACGGACCTTTAACGTCCGTGTAACTATCTCGGAACACAAATGGTACAATTAACCCTGTAACTCCTTCGACGATCATTTCGTGTGTATGCATTATGATCAGAGTTAACACACAGTGGAAATAACAGACATACACTATCGGCCAAAAGCTTGGAATCACTGAGCATTGCCATTTACGCAAAAATTTCCAGAAAAAAGTCAGCGACTTTGAGAATTTTTTATCACTCGAATCAATTGATAAAAGTAGAATTGAGATAAACTTCAAATCTATAAAGAACTAGCAGCAGATTTAATATTGATGAAAAGTGTGAGGTGATTCCAAACTTTCGGCCGGTAGTGTTTTTTGTGTGGATATCAATGTACTCTTTTGTTCGTAAGTATTAACCCTTTGCGGTCGAAATAGTCCAGTTATGTAGTTTCCCTTTATTTCAATATTTCAGAGTAATGTTGCTTGCAAAATACTAAGTTTCGGTGTAATATTAATGCGTAAAAAAATGGTTTATTATTTATAATTATTTACAATCAAAACATAGAACCGGAAAGGGTTAAGACACTTGCTGAATGTGAAGCAAAGTTAACACTAGAACAACCAGAGTTGAATGTGGCAAATTTCGTCTCTTCTGGTGTATTTAGATAAGACTGCATAAAGAACTTGAGAGTTAGAATCGTTAATGGAAAATAAAGTGGTATATCTAATTATTTCTTTGTTTCAACAAAACGATCTGTAAGTATACTTGAACAAAGGCGTCTTAATAATTTCTGTAATTTAAACTGAGAAATCTGAAATCCATCATTTTCACGGGTTTGGGAGTTCTAGTGTTAAACGGTGATTAGAAAATTATAATAATGTTTATTCAGCTTCACAGTTAAAAATTGGACGATTACAAAGTTATTAAGATCCCGAAAAAAAAGTATTCAGTTTGAAATCTCGTAGTGTAATGAATACAAATATTTTTACCGATATATATAAAATAACGATAACTTTGATAAGTTTAATGACACTAACTTTGAGGAAGGAATATAAATGTAAGAACATAATAGGTGTCCCGATACTCATGAACCGTAGCGTATATGATTGATATTTCCACTTGCGGCTGTACCGTGTTAAACACCGAAATGACTGATCACAGTCACAAAGTAGTTGCACGAACTTATTTCCCACTTTTCAGTGGTAACTTCAGCCTTCGAGACACTGTTCTAACAGTGAAAAATTCATGCTACTGCTTACTGCACTTTCAGTGATGAAGCAGAAAGAGTTAACAGTGACAAAATATGGTCCAATATTGGACGAACATTCTTATGCATTATAGAAAGAAAAATTCGTCCAATTTTTCGACCATATTTTGTCATTTATCTTAACTCCTTCGTTCTTAGAAAGAATAATATTGAGAAACTGACAATAATTTCAATTTCCTGTAGCCTAACCAAACGCAGAAAATTATTAAAGGGCTGAATCGGCTCAATTAAATGACAAAATACGGTTGAAAAATTTTTATGAACATACTTTCTCATCTATTACAGGGAAGCTGACAATAACAGCTCAGCTGTTCGAAAGAATTTCCAGCAGCCTAACCAAACGCAGGGAGTTATTAAAGGGTTGAATCGGCTCGGTTAAATGCAACAGCGTGAACGCACGCGCGACACGAATCAGGTGGCAATTGTACCGCGACGCGAAACGCTAACCGAATTTCAGCCAGAATGAATTCGTTTCTCCATGGAATTAATGTCACTTCTCGCAGTCGTAACTCAGGCCAGCTAGCGAGGAGTACGCGGAGAGCGGAGCGAATTTACGAGCCACCGGCCGCTCCTATTATCGAGGAGAGAGAGAAAAAATGATCTAATCACGCGAGACCGTTGCTCGTTACGCAGAGATTTCTCGCCGTGTGAAAAACGCGAAGAAATCTGTCGAGAGAAAAGGAGGGAGAGGTATATCGGTCTGTCGGATAGAAACGTTGGCTGGTGCACGCTCGAGTCGCGTTAGAACCGACAGGACTCTTGATTCACGACGAATTCGAATTCCATCGACGTTCGTATTGATCGAAGAAGAAAAGACAAAGCGTGGTTTAAGGGAATCCTGAGGAAATTCTCTCTCACACACGCGTACATGTCTATCTGTGTGTTCTAATGCCGGGAGAGAAGTTACTACCGCGATCGATGGGATTGCGGTTCGAAAGAGAACGTCTCGATGATTAGATGTACGCGTGTTCGAGTAAGTTCAAGCTTGGCTCCGGGAGTAAAATGATTTCGCACGGGGGCCAAGCTCACGCGAACTCCTCCAAGGAACTACCGTGTACCTGTCAGATGCTGAGTTTCTACCCCTCCTTCTCCAACAATTCGAAAGACGATACATTTTTCTTTAGAGCAACCTGAAACTTTTGCGGCGACCGCACGCTATTCGTAGATCGCGAACGTTTCTATTAAAGAAACGAGCAGCGACAACTTGGAGGAATTGAAAACTGTTGTTACGTCCTCTGTGAGGATAATTGCGAGTTGGTAATAATAGC